TCTCTGTCCTCATCAAAGGGAACATCTTTGCCATTAACAGAAAGGGTATGTTCCTGGAACACTGATTTGAAATTTGGAATACATTTCCACCATAGAAATGATGTACTGCATGGTGATTAGGTATCTTATGTACTAAAGTAGAATGGCTTATGAGTCTATGTTTTAGAATGTGGTGGGCTTTTTTTTTTTTTTTTTTGAGAACTTTTAAAAGTTCTGAACTAATTTAGAAATAAAGATAGAGATGCATAAATGGTATTTAAGTTGATATAAGTTGGAAGTCTCCTGTACATGCATACAGGCTACTCAATCCTCTATATTACTTCACTCATTGTGTATCATTATTATTGTCATTTTTGCCTGCTTTTGGTTGATTAGCTTTTTTAAAATTTTAATTCCAATATAGTTGACATACAGTGTTATATTAGTTTCATGTGTAGAATATACTGATTAAACAATTCTACACATTATTCAGTATTCATCATGATAAGTATATTCTTACAACCTATTTCACCTATCCCCTGCCTCCCTCCCCTCTGGTAACCATCAGTTTGTTCTCTATAGTTAAGACTGTTTCTTGGTTTGTCTCTTTTTTTATTTGTTTTGTTTCTTAAATTCCAAATATGAGTGAAATCATATGGTATTTGTCTTTCTCTAACATTTCACTTAGAATTATACCCTCTAGGGACGCCTGGGTGGCTCAGTTGGTTGAGCAGCTGCCTTCGGCTCAGGTCATGATCCCAGCGTCCTGGGATCGAGTCCCACATCGGGCCCCTTGCTCAGCAGGGAGCCTGCTTCTCCCTCTGCCTCTGCCTGCCATTCTGTCTGCCTGTGCTTGCTCTCTCTCCCTCTCTCTCTCTCTCTGACAAATAAATAAATAAAATCTTTAAAAAAAAAAAAAAAAGAATTATACCCTCTATCTCCATCCATGTTGTTGAAAATGGCAAGATTTCTTTCTTTTTCATGGTTGAGTAATATTCTATTGTATAAATATACCATATTTTCTTTATCCATTGATCTGTCAATGGACACATGAACTGCTTCCATAATTTCACCATTATAAATAATGCTGCAATAAACATAGGGGGTGCATATATTTCTTTGAATTAGTATTTTCGTATTCTTTAGGTAATACCCAGTAGTGGGATTACTGGATTATATGGTAAATCTATTTTTAAATTTGTGAGGAACATCCATACTTAAATAGATATTATTATGTTAAATCATGCTAACATACTTCAACTCACCTGTCAAACTTTCAACGTAAAATCAAAGCCATTCCTCTAACTGGAGATCCATATATTTTTCTTGCATAAATTATATCCAAAATGTTATCAGCTAATTCTAAAATTTCTCTCTTTAAAGTGAGTGAGAATATAAAGGCAGTTTAATCCTTCTGAATTTTTTTTTATCCTTCTGAATTTTTATACGTGTTTTTTCAAAGTTTTAAATTGCTTTGTCACACCTCACTCAATAGTAACCTTTTTTTTTTTTCAATAGCAACTTTTTAAAAAACAACTTGCTTTTACTGGAACATTCCAACACAATCAAATTTATTTTCTGAGAAACAACAAATATCTTTTCCTTTTATGTTCATATTTTATTAATTTTCATAAATTACCAATTATAGGAACAAGTACAACAGGCAAAAATCTTTGAGAAGAGGCATGAATAATTCTCAGTATGTATCTGCCTCAACTCATTGTGAAAATGTGAGAGTACATTACAGAAGGTACAACCAGTGTATATGATGAGCATGTCGTAGGCATCAGTCGGTGTGTTTTGAGAAATACAGAGTATCTGGTCATTCAGCACACTAGTTAGGGGAATTGGTTAAGAGATCTTCTTAATCTGCACCCCAATGAGGCATTTAGTTCAGTTCCACAAATGCTTACTGATTGCTTGGGCACTGGGTTTGGCACTGGAGATTCAAAAGACAACTAAGACGTGTTCCCTATTCTCTGAGATCCTGCAAACCAATCTGGATGGCAGACAAACACAAATGAGAGTTAATAAGTAGGATGATAGGTGCAGGAAGTGCATTTAGACAACTAAAAAGAAGGCAGAACTTTGTTTACCAAGTCACTGCTGAATCCCTGCTCTTGGTATGGCACCTGTCACAGAGTAAACCCTTTCAAGGGTCCACTGATTGAATAAATAAATGGATATGCAAAGCAAGGTTATAATGGGAAGATCTTAGTATTCTACTCTTAGGAAAAGTTTAAATGGTTAAGATTTAAAGAGTCCGGAGAGAAATAAACTGTGTACATAAGTCAAGATAAGGTATAACTGACAGGTATTTGACAGTTAGTGAAAGAATATGTTGCTAGGAGACAGAAAGTTGCCAGGGGCTGCGATATGGGGAGAATGGAGAGTTACTGTTGGATGGCTTAGAGTTTCAGCTGGGGAAGATGAACAAAGTTCTGGAGGTGGATTGTGTTGATGATTGCCCAGCACAGTCAATGTACTTAATGCCACTGATTGTATGTTTAAAAATGGTTAAACTGGTAAATGATATGTTGCATATATTTTACTATAATAAAAAAATTAAGTAAAGTAATATGTGGCTTCAAAGAGTGGTGGTAATTGTGAAAGCATCAGGAGGAAGGTAAAGAAAGAGCAAGATAACTCTTACCCCTTAAAGTCTTCAGAGGCAAAACTGGTACGGAGGTCAGGATGGAAGCAGGATGGGATACATAAGGGAGTTTATGGTAAAGAAATACACTTGAAGAAGCACTTAGCATATTACCTGGCGTGTGGTAGGTGCTCAATTTGCATTTGCCTGTGGAGGGATTATGATTGAATGAATTAAGTTTCAACCTGGCCCAGGATTGGCCCTGTCTTTTTTAGGCCAGAAATGGGTCTGGGCTGGCTGCCCTATTTAGTTGCTGCTTTTATCCTCTCCTCACTGATTTCCTACTTACTGCTTCTTTTTAGATTTAATGATTTGGTGAGTTCAGCTCACGTGCTGCAAGCCAACCGGGCATACAAGGAGAATGACGTGGCCCTAATGAGGTCTAAAATTAACATCATCCTACAGCTCTACCTGCATTCGGAAATCCCTCCAAGGCTGAGGGTAAAGGGGATTCCCGTTCCTCTCTGGGCATTTGCCAAGAAGCATTTCTTCCTCAAGAACTCTGAAAGCTGATAGGCACCTCCTAAGTCTTGGGTCAACCAGATGTCCTTTCCCTAGCAGTTGCATGAAAAGCTTCTGGGGAGGGGGTGTTCTTATAGGTCCTGGGGGGTCAAGAGAGGTTTTCTGCCTTCCTTGGAGCCTCGGCCAGTAACATGCTCCCATTCTATGGGTAGGTGAACATCTCTGAATCCCAGAAGGATGCCATCATTGCTGCCATTGCAGAGGGCCACCTAGATCGGAACATCTTCCATGGAACTGTCATGTCTCTCTTCCCTATCATTATGTACTTCTGGAAAAGGTAACTCTTTCTCCTTGCCCAAGACCACGAGGGCAGAAAAACACATTTGACTTTCTAGAGTAGCCCTCTGCTTCACAGTTTCCAGTCTCTTGGGAACTACAATGGTGTATTCTTATGCCACATGATATACCCCATCCCTCCCACTCTCACGCTGAAACTGAGTCAGAGGGTGGAAGGCCAAGTAAGACTGGGGATCAGAGTACCTGGCTCTCTCCCAGGTACCTCCTCCTTGCTTAGAAAAATGAGGTTAATTTTCTTAGGCATAGGTTCCTCACCTAAGGGTGAGTATGGACCTCCATACCTGGGAAGAAGTTCTGTCAAGTTTAACACAACTATAATTGTGCTTGAGGAGCTTCATGAGAGAGTAAGACACAAAAGCTCTACTCTGTTATGTCCAAATCCCATAATTACCATTAGAGGCACAGTTGCTAGATATTACATTCTCAAGAGGAGCTTAGAAATTTAGGAGTTTTGTTGTTGTTGTGGTTGTTGTTGTTGTTGTTATTGTAAAAGATTGATCTATTTGAGAGAGAGAGAGAGAGTGAAGGAAGGCAGAGAGGAAGAGAATCTTCAAGCAGACTCCCTGCTGGGCACAGACCCAGACACAGGGATCCATCTCATGACTGAGATCATGACCTGAGCCAAAACCAAGAGTTGGTCACTCAACCAACTGAGCCACCAATGTGTCCCAGAAATTTAGGTTTTTATGTCCTATCTCCCAATGTTAAAGTGGCAAATGTGGCAACAAACTCAAAACTAAAACATGGCGAGGAAATTATGAAGGCCAAAGAGCAAAAATGAAACAAACAAAATATCTGCAGGACAAATGCGACCTGTGGCCCACTGGTTTCTAACCTAGCCTGCCGAGGTTTAGGCTGAGACACTGGTCCAGATTCTCCCAGCTGGTTATTCATTCCTATAGTGTATAGTGCCAACCTATACACTGGACACTGGACACTGGTCCAGGTTGTCCCAGCTGGTTATTCATTCCTATAGTGTATAGTGCCAACCTATACGTTCCACACGGGGCCCTGTATGACAGTGACCAGAGGATAACCGGCTGAAATGTTCCAAGACAGGGCTAATTAGGATATTTAGATTATTATATGATTCTGGCTCTTAGGGGACCTCCCCCCCCCCCCCCCCCCCCCCCACACACACACGCATAAGTGTTACTTTAGTGGAAGAGAAGTCTAAAGGTTGCTTACCAATCTCCAACCTTTATTTTAAAATCTCTATGATAAATAGAACTATCCTATAATCCAGCAATTGTACTACTAGGTATTTACCCACAGGACACAAAATACAGATTCGAAGGGTTACCTGCACCCCAGTGTTTACAGCAGCATTATCAACAACAGCCAAACTATAGAAATAGACCAAGTGTCCATCAGTTAATGAATGGATAAACAAGGTGTGGTATATAGACACAATGGAACATTCCTAAACCATCAAAAAGAATGAAAGCTTGTCATTTGCAGTGATGTGGATGGAGCTAGAGTGTATTATGCTAAGCAAAACAAGACAGTCAGAGAAAGACAAATACCATGTAATTTCACTTCCATAATTCCATTTTATGAGTGGAGCATCAAACTAAACTGGACAGGTACCTCTAAGTCTGGAGTGCAGTCCAAGGGGCATGTGGAGATCCCCAATTTGTCTGATGAAAACAGTGTGGATGAAGTAGAGATTAGTGTGAGCCTTGCCAAAGATGAGCCTGACACAAATCTCGTGGCCTTAATGAAGGAAGAAGGGGTGAAACTTCTAAGAGAAGCAATGGGAATTTACATCAGCACTCTCAAAACAGAGTTCACGCAGGGCATGATCTTGCCTACGATGAACGGAGAGGCAGTAGACTCAACCGGGCGGCCAGCACTGAAAACTGAGGAGCGCAAGGCTAAGTCTGCTCCTTCAAAAACCCAGGCCGGACCTGTTGGTGTCAAAATCCCCACTTGTAAGATCGCCCTTAGAGAAACCTTCCTGACCTCACCAGAGGAGCTCTATAGAGTCTTTACCACTCAAGAGCTCGTTCAGGCCTTTACCCATGCTCCCGCAATGCTGGAAGCAGACAAAGGTGGGAAGTTTCACCTGGTAGATGGCAACGTCTCTGGGGAGTTCACTGATCTGGTCCCTGAGAAACTGATTGTGATGAAATGGAGGTTTAAATCTTGGCCAGAAGGGCACTTTGCCACCATCACCTTGACCTTCCTGGACAAGAGCGGAGAGACTGAGCTGTGCATGGAAGGCAGAGGCGTGCCGGCCCCCGAGGAGGAGCGGACGCGGCAGGGCTGGCAACGGTACTACTTCGAGGGCATCAAACAGACCTTCGGCTACGGCGCGCGCTTGTTCTAGGCCTGGCGCCGGGGGCGGTGTCCGCCCCCTCGGCCCAGCCCTCTCCTGACTAGGGCGTGGGACTCCCAGGATTGCACCATCCCAACCACTAACTTGGGGCTGGGGCCCCTTCCCTCCACGTATAGCTGGGGTTTGTGCATTTCTGCTGGGTGGGATTGGAGGGCGATTTCTCTTTTATGTGTACATAAGCTAAATAAACGTAATTTAAAAAAAAAAAAAAAAAGTGGAATTTAGGAAATAAAACAGATAAATGTATGGGAAGGGGGAAAAAAGAGAGAAGGAGAGGGGGGAGGAAAACAGTAAGAGACTCTTAATGTTAGAGAACAAACTGAGTGTTGATGGAGGGAAGTGGGTAGGGGATGGGATAAATAGGTGATGGATGTTAAGGAGGGCCCTTGTTCACTTGTTACGATGAGCACTGGGTATTACATGCAAGTGATGAATCACTAAATTCTACTCCTGAAACAAATATTATACTATATGTTAACTAATTAGGATTTAAAGAAAACTTTGGAAGAAAAAAAATAAATATACTTCAGTTCAATTAAAAAAAATCTCTATGATAATACATTATTTAATACAGGATTAAAAGAATTAAAAATCGAAGTTCAAGATAACCAGTTTATCCTTTGAACATTAGTTGTTATCTAGCACCAAATCCAGACTTGATTCTAGTTCTGCTAAGCAGGATCAAACAGAAATTTGTCCTGAAACTTTCTGGAGGATCAGAACCCTGAGAAATGCATGCTGCTCCTGGCTTGAGTCAGTGCTCAGCACTGCCTCACAACCATTTAGGAAGTGTAGACTGCTTCAGGGAGGCTTTGGATCCCTAATCTTTATGCAGCTGATTCTTCACTTGCTTTCCTATACACTCCTATATAAAGAGTTTTATATTGCACGAACTGTGTCTACTTATGTCATCCCAGATGAACCTCTCAATAGCCCTTTGAGATGGGTGAGGCAAAGTGTCATTATCCCTATTTTATAGATGAGTAAATTGAGGTTCAAAAGGGCTAAGAGATGCCTAGGAGCACTTGGAAATGGTAAAACCAGGATTAGAAACAAGGTCTCTCATTATTTTAAGCACCATAAAGTATGCGTTGTGGCAGACTGGGAGCTTCCTGATGGGACAAAGACCCATTATAGCTAGTGGAATGAGAGAAACCAGCTGTGATCAAATAGAATGCCCCTTGGGGACATTGGAAAGAGAGCACCAGTTAAGACTATCAGAGCAGGGGCACCTGGGTAGCTCAGAGGGTTAAGCTTCTGTCTTCAGCTCAGGTCATGATCTCAGAGTCCTGAGATCAAGCCCCATGCAGGGCTCTCTGCTCAGCAGCGAGCGTGCTTCCCCACCCCCCCTCTCTGCCTACTTGTGATCTCTCTGTCAAATAAATAAATAAAATCTTTAAAAAAAAAAAAAAGACTATCAGAGCAAAGGCGGGATAGAAAATAAATCCAATCTTAGTCAAGACCAACCTCCAAGGGGTCCAATGCAAGAGTAGGCTGATGGACAGCAAGCATTAGGGGCCAGGGAGGAACAGATGAAGAGTGTTATGAGGGACTCCAGGGAGCAACAGTTCTTAGACTGAGTTAAGTATATGAGTGCAAGTTCATGTGAGGAAGGGGTTTACTCAGACTGCTGGGAATGTCATGACAGGGTCATGACCTTCAGTAAGGGACAGGATGAAATCAGGGATCAGGACCTGAGAGGAAATCAGTCAGACACTCTGGCTGTACCACGTGGGGTTAAGTGGAGAGCTCATAGTCTGAGGCTCAAGCAAGCATTGGAGGGATTGACTCTTCCTCAGATCTGGATAAAGCAGATTCTTTACAGTCTCCATTCACTGGTTCTGAAAGGGAATCCCAACATACTGTCCATACCAGGTCCACACTGGAGCTAGGCCTGGACACAGCGAGGGCTCAGAAGAAGGGCCTCTGACAGGCAACACCCCAAGGCCAAGACTTTCCTCTTCTCTATCGCACACTTTACTCTCTGTAAGGAATGGTCCTGACCCAGTTGCCCCGTGCTCAGTGTTCCAGCCTCCTCATTGGGTAACTTTTTCCATGTGACCAGAAGACAATCTTCTCACAGGTTTTGTTCCTGGAAGGCAGCCCACTCTTACTTCCAGTTCAAGGGGAAGACACACAAGGATAAAAAAACTTCTCCTAAACCCACACACAAGACTTCTCCTTGGAGTGGAGGTAAGCTCAACCATGACCTATAGCCCCATTCTCTAGAAAATGAGACTCATAAAGGGAAAGCAAAGGTCCAAAGGACCAAGGTAAGACTTCATAGAGGGTATTTCCTGGAGGGGTGGGCATCTCATTAACTTGGCTCTCAGAGAAGCATTAAAGTATGTTTTGTCTGTTGATATCAGTAACAGCAAAAGGGTACCCCACCCATGTACCACACTTCTCAGCAGTACCTCCCAACAGCCTCAGGATGTAGGTCATGGTCCATGTGGTGGGTAGATAGAGGTGGTGACTTGCTTTACTGCTATTTAAGAAGCCCCTGCTCCAACTATCTCCAGAAACCCTATCATTTGAAAAGCATCTGTTTTATGGTATTAAATGAGAAAATTAAAAAGTGGATTTAGGGTATGATTTTCATGTGGTAAATACATATATATTTTTATGCATGTATGTAATCTTTATGAGAGCATGGGAAAAATTCATAAATAAAGTATTAATAGGCTTATCTCTGCATGATGTGATTATGAGTGATCTACATATTTATTATTAATATACTCTTAATATGTCATTCATATATTGCATATTATTAATATACTTATAAATAAGCAAATAGGTGCATTTGAAAACAAATACAGACATGTTTTCTTAGCAGAGCAGTTAAACTCAATCCCTTTCTTAATATCTGCACTGAGATCAGTAAGGAAATTTTAAAGAGGGGGAAGAGGGTGCACAGAGCAGTGCCTGGAGAGAGCAGGACTGGATGTCTCTACAGTGGAAGGTTCTGAGAACCAAAGAGAAGAGGTGTGCGAGTCTGAAACTGGTACCAGCATCAGAACAAAATAAGGAGATAAGACAGGAGTCTTAAAGACAGCAACAAATTGTCCTGTAAGAGAGCTGAGCATTCCAAGGTTTTAGTTTCAGCCTATGCAGTTCTCATGTCCATTTTTTCCAGATACTTAACCCTGCCCCCCTTCCAGCCTCCTCACAAACAAGCGTTCCACTCCCTTTTCCGAGTACAAATGAGACTTTTGAAACTTAACCCATCCCTAGTTTGCATGAAGAGTGAGAGAAGCAGCTCTGGCTGGTTGTGGAGCCAAGTTCCTGCCCCTCTGAGAGGTGCACCTAAGTAGGAAATAAATCACCTTTACCTCCCTGATCTCAAATATAGAGGCTTGGATTTAGATAATATCTGTCAGTAACATCCTATACTCCAAGGAATGTTGTCAAGAACTTCCTTGCTTACATATAAAGATTTATTTTGTTGGGTGTTATAAGGGATTTTCATGTTCCCTGTCTTTCTTCTCCAGGAGACCATGCCATCTTAAGATTCACCTTGCTCAGAGGTATTGAGTGGTTTCGGCCTCAACAACGGGAGGTAATAACAAGTCCAGGCCAAAATTGTGAGTTGGAGTTAGAATCCCACTGATCTAACTACTAAGATGGTGACTCTAATCCAGTTTGGCCAAGCTCCTTAATGACCACAAGGAGACTGAGGTCCCCGAAATGTGAAGCGATTTGCTCCAAACCACCCAGCATGTGAGTGGCCGAGATGGGATGAGAAGCAGGTCTCCTGACTGCCTTTCTGGGGCTCTGTGCACAGCTCTCATCTGAGTAATTGTATCTTCCTAATTCTCTTATAGCCCCTTGAAGGAAGGTACCTTAGGCTTGTCTGTATCTCTGCTGGCTCCTCTGTATGTGTGGTGGTTCCAATGTGTGTGTGGACACAATCGTAACATCCCAGGTGTTATTTTCCCCTCCCTCTGAGAGCACCTGCTAACTTGAACAGAACCTCCATCCCATACCTTCTGCTTCCTGGAAGTACCTGTTACAGATCATCTTATCCCAGTAATAAACACTCTTGTCCTAGCCACCCATATCTGAGCCACGCTATATCCTTTTTCTTCCCCATCTTTAGCCTCAAGGAGTTAAGCCCTCTTCCAAGTATTAAAGTTGCCTTGGTTTCCACATGGTCTCTCCTGACAAGCTTTTTCTTTCCCCCATACCAATTGTTCACTGCTATTTCTAGGTTGGAGATACTGTTTCTTTCTGCTGCTTATGGGCATGAAACACCAGCTTGCCTTTTCTGCCCATTTGCATATGTCCCCTCATTCCCTAGTGGGGGAGGCCACTATGGAATATTGCCCATGATCCATAGGGTCCAAACAGCCTTAAGCTTTGCGATTCCAGTATTCATATGGCTTCATTTCCTTTTGTTACTTCCCTGGGTCTTTAGGGTTGTCATCTTGACCTTTGTATCCAGATAAAATGTCTCCTAAGACCAAAGGTACTGCAGCATTCAGACCAGGTCTCCTTGATGTCCCTGGAGCATCACTGCTTCACCTTCCATTTTCCCACTCCTTTCCTGAAGGTGTTTCCCTGGAGGTTGTTCTGGGATGGCCTTCCTGGGCTGGAGGCCCTCAAGTGTACCCTGAACCCTGAGTTCTGATGCAGTTTTTCTCTACATTTGTCTTTAGCTTCTTCTAGCAACCTTACCCCATCAAGACATGGGCTCACCACTGTGCAGCTGTGTCCTGTACCAGGGTAGGCATGGGGCAGAAGTCCTCTTCTTCGGTTCAGAGCTGCTTTGTCCAAGTGTACAATGGGAGATGGGGAAGAAATTTCCCAGAGACCTAGCTCTACAACCTGACACTCCTTAGCATATGAAAACCAAGAAGTTGAGGTTGCTTCTTCCAGAGAGTCCTATAGTCAAGATAGTTAGGGAAGGGTTTCTCTGTGGGTTTCCTTACATGTCTCCAACTAAGGCACTTTTAGGAAGTTGGATACCCTGACCCACCTTCTAGGAGAACATTATTGCTAGGAGAAGAGTGTCCCAGATGATCTTTTATTACCAGCCTCCCTAATACTCAAGCTTTTCAAGGTAAGGGGCATAAAATGGAAAGAAAAAGAATTGTTCTACTTGGCAGGATATTGTCAATAAAATCATAAAGGACTTGAGCCTGTCAAAATCTGATTCAGCTTGGGGTGCCTGGGTGGCTCAGTGGATTAAGCCTCTGTCTTC